CGGTTGTGTATTGACTACCGTCAATTGAATAGGGTAACTGTGAAGAACAAATACCCACTGCCAAGGATCGATGAATTATTTGATCAGTTGGGTGGATCACAGTTCTACTCTAAGATTGATTTGAGATCTGGGTACCATCAGCTGAAAATCAAGGAGGAAGACATTCCGAAGACTGCTTTCAGAACACGGTACGGGCACTTCGAGTTTCTGGTAATACCGTTTGGGTTGACGAATGCCCCGGCTGCATTCATGGATCTAATGAACCGTGTTTACCGGCCGTACTTGGATCGGTTCGTGATCGTCTTCATTGACGACATACTGGTTTACTCGAAGACTTGGGAAGAACATGCGCAACATTTGAGAATTATTCTTCAGACTCTTCGAGAACACCAGTTGTATGCTAAGAAGGAGAAGTGTGACTTCTGGCTGACAGAAGTGAAGTTCCTTGGGCATGTGATTTCTGGACAAGGAATTTCTGTCGATCCTTCTAAGATCGAGACTGTGCTACAGTGGGAAAGGCCAAAGAATGTAGTGGAGATTCGCAGTTTTCTCGGACTGGCAGGCTATTACCGGCGTTTTGTGAAGGACTTCTCGAGCATCGCTGCACCGATGACTCGGTTGACGAGGAAGGAGGTCAGATTCGAATGGAACGCCGAATGTGAAAGTGCTTTTCAGGAATTGAAGGTCAGACTGACAAGTGCACCAGTCTTGACTATTCCTGACAGTGAAGGGCTGTATGAGGTATATACTGACGCCTCGGGGAGTGGGCTGGGCTGTGTGTTGATGTAAGGTGGACGCGTTGTAGCTTACGCATCCCGACAACTAAAGCCACATGAACAAAATTACCCCACTCATGATTTGGAGTTGGCAGCGGTGATATTTGCTCTAATGATATGGAGATGTTATCTTTATAGAGTAAAGTTTCAGGTCTTCTCTGACCATAAAAGTCTGAAGTACTTATTTACTCAGAAAGACTTGAATCTCAGGCAAAGGAGATGGGTGGAGTACATGGAAGACTACGACTTCACTCTCCAGTATCATCCTGGAAAAGCTAATGTGGTGGCTGATGCCCTTAGCAGGAAGCCGACGGGGA